GTTTAGGGTTTAGTGCTTAGGGGGTTTCTGGGGGTAGGGATTTGGGGTTTAGAATTGCTTAGGGGTTTAGGGGGGTAGGGATTAGGAGTTTAAGCTTGTTTAGGGGTTTCGGGGGTATGGATTAGGAGTTTAAGGGTTTGGAGTTGCTTAGGGGTTTAGAGGGTAGGGATTAGGAGTTTAAGGGTTTAGAGTTGCTTAGGGGTTTTAGGGGGTAGGGATTAGGAGTTTAAGGGTTTATGCTTGCTTTGGGGTTTGTAAGGGGTGGGGATTAGGAGCTTAAGGGTTTATGCTTGTTTAAGGGTTTTAGGGGGTTTAAGGGTTTATGCTGGTTTAGGGGTTTAGGAGGTATAGGTCTAGGGGTTTTGGATTTATTTCAAGCGGGTATGGGGTTTAGGGTTTTGGATTTATATAAGGGTTTAGGGGGTAGGGCGCACGGGTTTAGGGTTTAAGGGGATAGGCTTTAGGGGTTTATAGGGTTTGGGCTTTAAGGGTTTAGGGTTTAGGGGTCCAGGATTTAGGGCTTAAGGGTTTATAGGGTTTTAGGGTTTAGGGTTGATTATTAGGGCTTATAGGGTTTAGGGCTTATAGGGTTTATAGGGTTTAGGATCTAGCACAGTCGAGATGGCACATTGAAAGAACTCAGGCACAACAACCCGTACTTATGTTAGGGATGATGGACCAAGTCCTGCATTGTCCATGCTGGTTGGGCATAAATAGGTTTGTAGCTTGATGGTTTGGAATACAGAGGCTTTGAATACTTGGGAGGTAGTGCAGGAATATGTCCATCAGCAGTAGCCCCGAAGCCCAAAACGCCAGCAGGTGCCTCCAGAGCCGTTTGTGTCTTCTTCACTTCCCGTGTCTCTGCAACCTGCACCGCGCAAACAGGCAGCGGCTGCCACCCTACAGCTGAGACTACATGGGTTGGGTCTACTGCAGTTCAGGGTTTACGTGTTCACGCAGTTGCAGACCACTTTCCAGAACCCTTCATGAAGCCACCTAAACCCTAAACCCTAAACCCTAAACCCTAAACCCTAAACCCATCATGTCACGACCCTTCTGGGAACCCTGAGTTGCCTCGGCGTCATCGGTGGCAAGCTTACCTGGGCAGCGAGCAGGATCCAGCAACCCTCACGGCCAAGAGGGCTCCTTCCACACCTTGATTGTTACTACGTCTCGATACCTCAGAAAAAGTATACCAGGATATACGAGGTCACTAGGTATCCAATCTTAAGACACGTAAAGAAAGTGGTTTATGAATTAGGCGTCTCCTTTGCACTTGTCAGTGTTATGGTGAGGGGGTCCTCTGCTACCAGAAGCAAGGGAACCCAAACTGGAATTGTAAGTCAGACTCTAGGACTCTAGAAATCGTGGCCCATGTTCTATACAGCTCCTGAGCCTTGCCAAAGCTGGATGTGCTTTCTTCGGCGAAACGATAGTTTGGTTCGATCATGCTCCTCATTGCTCGTCCCTTATCCCGAAGACATGTGATTTGTAATTATGGCCTAGGCGATATAGTACCCCAAACAACCCAGTTGCAAGGCCCGACAGTGAGATAGCCCAATAGACAGCGAGCCTAAGACATGCCATGAGTCGAGCCCTGAATGTGTTCCCACTCAGCCTGGCGCATTCCCGGACCTTGCCGGGACCCGCGAAGGCTCGCGACTGCCAGCACCAGGCATTGTCTTGAGGCCAGCTCGCTGGGTCCTACCCCTAGGCCCCATAGTAGTTCCTCTTTGGGGTTACCTTATAGGATTCTATATATGAATCCCTACTTTAGGGCCTATGGGTAGGTATCATCCTCTTGCCGTGAGACATCCTTTTGCCACCAGCCATCGTCCCGGCTCCCGTCAGCCTGAGAATTCCGTCCCCAGCCATCGAGCCGCGAACCAAGCCAGGGTGGGTACGGCAGAGTGGCGTGGCCATTGTTTTTTACCGCAAGCTGGTGGTTTGACGGCGTGTTCCTGGTGCGAGTGCCACCACTAACCGACTTTGAAGATCTTCTGCCAGCAGCCACCGGTGCGAGAGCTGCGCGGTGATGTGATTTCGCGGCAATTCTCAGACCGCCACACCTTCAAACTCCAACCCCAGGTGCACATTTGGGAGAGACGGAAGCCTGTCGAGAAAGCCACAGCAACGCATGGAAGGTGCAACAGTGACCAACGAGTGAGAACCGCAGACAGTCACACCACCCCTCAAAACAGTCGGAAACCCGGCAAAACCCTGCACCCTCCCCTGAAGAAGTCTTGTGAATCAGTGACAGCTCCAAAGGCTCTAAGGCCCGATGGCGATTGCAACACACAACAGCTAGAACGCAGTACTGTAAATCTACCCAACATGCAAAAAGCCCCTACACCTTAAACCGTTGGAGGCATTTCTTTAACTGCCCTGTGCCCGGCTGGGCCTTCCTTCCAGACCACGTAATGACACCAACCCAAAAAGCACTCAAGGAAATAGGATCATCCTCCTGGCCCTAACCATAGGCCCTAAAGTAGTTCCTTTTTGGGGTTCATATGTAGAATCCTATAAGGTAACCCCAAAAAGGAACTACTATGGGGCCTATGGGTAGCTTAAATCTTTTACGTGAAACGCTAAGGTTCTATTGCAGCAAGAACCTGATGAACGTCTCCCCCTGTTTTACCGGGAGCTAAGTGCCCGGCGCTTGCGAAGGGCGTTGAGAGCCTCGTCCGCATCACCAGCTGCCTTCCATCGAATCCCAAACCCCAAACCGGTTCAGGGCTAAGGGTTTAGCGGTCTCAAGTTTAAGGAATAACGAAAAGCCTTTCAGCTACCGGCAACTACAGGGATGCAACCGGTGACAGCATAGCAACATGTGGCAGGGTTGCGATAGCTCCGAGCGGGGTTCTACACAGGTTGTAGCTTGTTTCTGTGGGGTACGAGATTATTGCCAGGGCTGTGTCCGGATATTCACGGATTCTGCGAAGCTTAAGAGTTCCAGGCAAAGCCCCATTCATTGCTCCCAGCTTCCTACCAAAGCCACCAAAGATCCCTCAAACAGAAGCATCCGAGACAGATGCCGAACCCTCTGTAGATCCTCCTAGACCCTATCATCTACCTTGCACTCCCTAGGCCCCATGAACCCAAATAGTAGATACTTAGGCCTTAAAGGGGTCCCTGTACAGGTACTTTAAGGCCTTTTAAAGAAACCCTTGCAGAGCCGTAAAGAAAGCATTCAAGAAATCCGAAAACGTAAACCTGTAGTTGCTCTGTGGGCCCTTTTGTTCTGGGGAACTCTGGTGGCTGCCTCTGCGAGGGCCGCCGCCACGTCCGACTCCTCAAAGCCCATGTCCTGCATGGGGATGAAGGGTTTGGGGCCTAGGGATTAGGGGCTAAGGGGTTAGGGTTTAGAGGGTGAATAAGGGTTTAAGGGCTTAGGGTTTTGGGCTTAGGGGTTTAGGGTGTAGGGGCCTTGGCGTTTTGGGCATCCGGGGTTTCGGGCTGCCGACGTTAAAAATTACTTTATCTTCCCCACCTACTCTCTATGCGACACTAAACTCTACATCCAAACCCGAGACCCCTTTTAGAGGTCCTGGTAGGGTTTGGGGCTTGGACGCCTTACAGGCTCATGGAGTTCAGGGCTCAAGTCAAAAGGGATGCCCTAAAGCCTGAAGACAAAACCCTAAAGCCTAAACCCCTAAACCCTTGAATCCCGTCCGCAGGAGTTTGGGGTTTGGGTAGGGTCTACCTGAACCCTCTAAAACATACCTTTATGGATTATAACGAATTCATTATGTAAGTTCTTACCAAGGGGTTTAAGGTTTAGGTTTTAGGATGAGGATCCTGCTATTCAGGGTCTTCACTGGGTCTCTTATTTTCTGTTACTCCCAGCCGGGTAGCTACACAATCAGATATGGGATTCTAGGTTTTCAGGTTTCAGAGTTCGCGGCTTCCGACTTTCCTGGAGATTTCGCTCCTCCCTGATGGGGGGTCCCAGCCTCGCAAGAACTCCGACAGCCGACTATGCCTGACCTCAACTAGTCCTCATGTACAAATCCGTTGAGTCTCTGAAGCTTTCCCAGATGCCCAGTGAACATCGACCGGAGGATGACCTCCCGGAAGCAACCCTATAACCTAATTCAGCCTTTCTTGGGGCTGTCTACGTTAGTATCTTATAGTACGGTCTTACAGGAAAACCAACACGCTTTAAGCAGCCAGGTGGACACTAAGAAGTTACTCAGCTACTCCTTGGCACCAGCTACTGTGCGTCACGGGCCTAAACCCCCGAACTCCTGAATCTAAACTACAACCTTTTTCAACGTATAGACCCCCTCAAAACCCATACCTTGAACCCTGACCCCCAAACAGATATATATATATATATATATGGTACCCCCCCCCATGGATCTACCGTTTTCGTGTGCTGGGTACCCCCCCCACCATACGAAAACAGTAGATCCTTGAGGGGAGGGCCCCCCACACGAAAACAGTAGATCCTTGAGGGGAGGCTGCCGATGCACAATTTTGTGGTTGGGTTTGTGCTACCCTGGCCCG